TCTTTATATATACTGTGACGATAATCTCCTTCAAGAGATTGAGCCTGCTCTTCCCTCCAAAGTTCGTCGATACATACATCCCTATACAACTAATATGGAAGAAATATCCAACAACGACAACATCTCCAAGGTTTGCCAGAGAGCAAAACGTATGCAGCCAGGAACACCTGCTCCACCTCGAACCACCAAACTACCTGTCTTGTCGCCTGCTCATCGCTGATTGGCTGCGGGTCCAGTTGCACCTGCTCTCACCCACCACACTACCTGATGTCTGGGGCCGCCACGACCTCAGTCCTCAGAATATCCAGTGCTTTCAACAAGTTAACACGTCTCGTTGGTAGACTAAGCTGTGGCTTACGTGTACTAAGAGAGGTGATAGCTTAAAGCCAATATTCCTGCACCTCTTATTTGATTGTATATTGTTCACTTGTTATTACTCACTTGTCTTAACGTAACTTTTCATTTTGTCATTTGATTATTCCTACTATTTTGATTGATTGATTTTATTATACGAATTTGTATGTCCATTTTATTCATGTTTTGCTTTTCTAACGTAATTAAAATTTCATTGTTAAATTTACTTGTGTTTTGTGTGTCTTCTCATTACCTTACCACAGACGAAGTTCCAGATTTTCTATTTTTTGTTTCTATATGTGACGAGGCCATACCCCTAGCTTTTGAACAGCCGAACACCAACGCGTTACCGTCACAATACATTAATTTTTGATTGTGTTGCTTATTTTTGGTTAAGTTAATTAATTTAGGTTAGATTTGGAATAGCTGGCTAACGTTACTTGAAGTTATGTTAAGTTCGGATAGATAAAGTTGGGTTAGGTTAAGATATTCAAAGTCAGATGAAGTTTAGTTCAGGATTTTAGAAACACTTCCTGAATAGCAGAGCAGTAACGCGTGCACGGTGTCCAAGTTCTCACCCCCACAGCCGGCCCAGTTCTCACCCCCACAGCCGGGTTAGTTCTCACCCCCACAGCCGGCCCAGTTCTCACCCCCACAGCCGGGTTAGTTCTCACCCCACAGCCGGGCTAGTTCTCACCCCCACAGCCGGCCCAGTTCTCACCCCACAGCCGGCCCAGTTTTCACTCCCACAGCAGGGCTAGTTCTCACCCCCACAGCCAGCCCAGTTCTCACCCCACAGCCGGCCCAGTTCTCACCCCACAGCCGGGCTCGTTCTCACCCCACAGCCGGGCTAGTTCTCACCCCACAGCCGGGCTAGTTCTCACCCCCACAGCCGGGTTAGTTCTCACCCCACAGCCGGGCCAGTTCTCACCCCACAGCCGGGCCAGTTCTCACCCCCACAGCCGGGCTAGTTCTCACCCTACAGCCGGGCCAGTTCTCACCCCCACAGCCGGGCCAGTTTTCACCCCCACAGCCGGGCTAGTTCTCACCCCCACAGCCGGCCCAGTTCTCACCCCACAGCCGGGCCAGTTCTCACCCCCACAGCCGGGCTAGTTCTCACCCCCACAGCCGGCCCAGTTCTCACCCCACAGCCGGGCCAGTTCTCACCCCACAGCCGGGCCAGTTCTCACCCCCACAGCCGGCCCAGTTCTCACCCCACAGCCGGGCTAGTTCTCACCCCCCGGGCCACAGCCGGGCCAGTTCTCCACCCCACAGCCGGGCCAGTTCTCACCCCCACAGCCGGGCTAGTTCTCACCCCCACAGCCGGCCCAGTTCTCACCCCACAGCCGGGCCAGTTCTCACCCCCACAGCCGGCCCAGTTCTCACCCCACAGCCGGGCTAGTTCTCACCCCCACAGCCGGGTTAGTTCTCACCCCACAGCCGGGCCTCACCCCACAGCCGGGCCAGTTCTCACCCCCACAGCCGGGCCAGTTCTCACCCCACAGCCGGGCCAGTTCTCACCCCACAGCCGGGCTAGTTCTCACCCCACAGCCGGGCTAGTTCTCACCCCACAGCCGGGCTAGTTCTCACCCCCACAGCCGGCCCAGTTCTCACCCCCACAGCCGGGCTAGTTCTCACCCCACAGCCGCGTTAGTTCTCACCCCACAGCCGGGGCAGTTCTCACCCCCACAGCCGGGCTAGTTCTTACCCCACAGCCGGGCTAGTTCTCACCCCACAGCCGGGTTAGTTCTCACCCCACAGCCGGGCCAGTTCTCACCCCCACAGCCGGGCCAGTTCTCACCCCACAGCCGGGCTAGTTCTCACCCCACAGCCGGGTTAGTTCTCACCCCCACAGCCGGGCCAGTTCTCACCCCCACAGCCGGGTTAGTTCTCACCCTCACAGCCGGGCTAGTTCTCACCCCACAGCCGGGTTAGTTCTCACCCCCACAGCCGGGCCAGTTCTCACCCCCACAGCCGGGCTAGTTCTCACCCCACAGCCGGGCCAGTTCTCACCCCCACAGCCGGGCCAGTTCTCACCCCCACAGCCGGGCCAGTTCTCACCCCCACAGCCGGGCTAGTTCTCACCCCACAGCCGGGCTAGTTCTCACCCCACAGCCGGGCTAGTTCTCACCTCACAGCCGGGTTAGTTCTCACCCCACAGCCGGGCCAGTTCTCACCCCCACAGCCGGGCTAGTTCTTACCCCACAGCCGGGCTAGTTCTCACCCCACAGCCGGGCTAGTTCTCACCCCACAGCCGGGCTAGTTCTCACCCCCACAGCCGGGTTAGTTCTCACCCCACAGCCGGGCCAGTTCTCACCCCCACAGTCGGGCCAGTTCTCACCCCCACAGCCGGGCCAGTTCTCACCCCACAGCCGGGCCAGTTCTCACCCCCACAGTCGGGCCAGTTCTCACCCCCACAGCCGGGCCAGTTCTCACCCCACAGCCGGGCCAGTTCTCACCCCACAGCCGGGCCAGTTCTCACCCCCACAGCCGGGCTAGTTCTCACCCCCACAGCCGGCCCAGTTCTCACCCCCACAGCCGGGCCAGTTCTCACCCCCACAGCCGGGCCAGTTCTCACCCCCACAGCCGGGCCAGTTCTCACCCCCACAGCCGGGCCAGTTCTCACCCCCACAGCCGGGCCAGTTCTCACCCCACAGCCGGGCCAGTTCTCACCCCCACAGCCGGCCCAGTTCTCACCCCCACAGCCGGGCCAGTTCTCACCCCCACAGCCGGGCCAGTTCTCACCCCCACAGCCGGGCCAGTTCTCACCCCCACAGCCGGGCCAGTTCTCACCCCCACAGTCGGGCTAGTTCTCACCCCACAGCCGGGCTAGTTCTCACCCCACAGCCGGGTTAGTTCTCACCCCACAGCCGGGCCAGTTCTCACCCCCACAGCCGGGCCAGTTCTCACCCCCACAGCCGGGATAGTTCTCACCCCACAGCCGGGCTAGTTCTCACCCCCACAGCCGGGCCAGTTCTCACCCCCACAGCCGGGCTAGTTCTCACCCCCACAGCCGGGCTAGTTCTCACCCCACAGCCGGGCCAGTTCTCACCCCCACAGCCGGGCTAGTTCTCACCCCCACAGCCGGTCTAGTTCTCACCCCCACAGCCAGGCTAGTTCTCACCCCACAGCCGGGCTAGTTCTCACCCCCACAGCCGGGCTAGTTCTCACCCCACAGCCGGCCCAGTTCTCACCCCACAGCCGGGCCAGTTCTCACCCCACAGACGTCCTGGGCAGCCTTGTCTGGCAGTCGGCTCGAGCGATTGTTATCCAATAATATTATACAAATAATTAATGGTAACTAACCTTGAATAAAACTGAGGGTCGCTGCTGTCCTGAGTAACCTGGAGACTCTTGGGCGACTTCAACGCAACAAAACTACTTATCCACTATCTTTTATCTTCATAAATTATCCCATATATGAACCACAAATTCGAATTATGAATCAAATACACACTTTTCACACATGGTTAACTATTACAAATAGTTTACGTGGTTAATCTGGATCCCCCAGATAGGTTTAGGTTTCTAAATTGTGGCGAATGGTGGTGAACGAGAATAGATAACGGGGAAGGGGGTGGTAGAAGACCTCGGTGTAGATCCTCTCCCTCTGACGGCTGCGGCCACACTGGTGGCGTCCCCAACCGGGAAGCCGACCCCTGGCCACCGCACTCCCCGTTGCACGCACGAACGCACACAGCGACCAATTTTTGTATCAATCATTATTACAATTCATTCTCCTACCCCCTCTCCTCCTCATCCCTATTTACCCCTCCTCCGCCGATTCCCAAGTTTAACAAATCCTCGTGTTGTCGACCCTGGGGACTAGATTAGTGTGTAGGTTGAAACACCACGCCCCCACCAGGCTCCAACCCTGAGGACGCCGCCCCCTCCACCACTTCCTCTACCGTTGATTACTCCAGGATGGTCGAGGCTCCTGTCTTGACGGTAGCTTTACTTCTGTCTACTCCAGGATGGTCGAGGCTCCTGTCTTGACGGTAGCTCTACTCCTGTCTACTCCAGGATGGTCGAGGCTCCTGTCTTGACGGTAGCTCTACTCCTGTCTACTCCAGGATGGTCGTGGCTCCTGTCTTGACGGCAGCTCTACTCCTGTCTACTCCAGGATGGTCGAGGCTCCTGTCTTGATGGTAGCTCTACTCCTGTCTTGATGGTAGCTCTACTCCTGTCTACTCCAGGATGGTCGAGGCTCCTGTCTTGATGGTAGCTCTACTCCTGTCTACTCCAGGATGGTTCAGGCTCCTGTCTACTTGATGGCCTGAAGATAGTGAGTCGTTAGCGTGGTTATGTTGAAGATTATTAGTCCTTAATTGTGTATTTATCGTGTTATATTTTGTCCGTGTCTGGAGATAAGAGCAGTTAGCTTTAAGTTTGGATTTGTCCGGGGACTGGTTGCCAGGTTCAAGTTTGATTGGCATGTTAAATATGGTTAACGGTATGGTTTGGGTTGCCCTGGGGTGGGGGGGGGGGCAATCTGGTTACTTGGTTTTGGTTGATTTTTTATGGTTTTTGGGGTTGCTATTTGGTGGTCGGTGGGGTTCTCAGGTTAAAGTTGTGGTTGGTGGTGTTGTTCGGTTAATGTTTTGGTTGGAGGAGTTGCTGGGTTAAAGTAAAACTTGGGTGGTAAAATGGCAGCAATAAAGTATCAAGAGATAACCGGTAAAAATGATCCTCCAATCCAACACTGTGGCTCCTAAACTCACAGTGAAAATAAAGCAATGAATGGGTTTAGCGAACCACATGAAACACCCCCCCCACCTCATCTTACTAAATAAATAACAATAAACCAATGAATTAATGTATATCCAAAGACTAATTCATGAACGTTAGTACATTTATACTTGGGGAAAGTTTACCTACATATTACAGTACTTTAATTAGGTAAGAGAATCGCAATAAATGCATAACTGTTTGCAGGCGATGAGTCACAATAACTTGATTTAATCGACTTGAGAATGGTCCAGGACGGACCGAAACGTCGTCGTCCCTTTAACTTCTAGTGTGTGGTCTGGTCAACAATGGATAACTCGCTGAAATTGTTGTTAACAGAATTGGAATCGGAATATTTATTCGTAAGAACTCATATAAATCTTTACAATACACGCTGGACTGAACAGGTTTAAAGATATATAAACCAAACATAATTCTGGAATTAAGTGACGTTTACCTCACAGTTTGGAAGGTAAAACACATTGTAAAAAGTAAGGTGTGATGTGTCATTACGGCGGCAAGACGTATTTGCAAGTTAGCAAAATTTCTGTAAAAAATTAAGATTGTAAGTCAATTAGAAGTAGAACGAATATAATAATAATAATAATAATAATAATAATAACAATTAACAAGGAGATAACTCAAGAAATAACAAGATAAATGTTCAGTATGAACAAGGAGAACAACCCCGCCACTGTTCTCCTCCTCACTAGACCAGACTCTGCAGGGGGACACAGTACCAGGTTGGCGACCAACATAGCCAGCAGCCAAGCCAATACTTCAGTCACCTCGTTACTGGATATAACTAATGACATAAAACACGACAAATTCCAGTGACTGTAACTTCAAAACAGCGTCGTATATAACATGTAGGTTTAAGACCCGCTGCCTCTCACGTAACTGCTCTCACAAGCAGTTAATCTCTTCCTTGTAACAAGTGTGACTAACAAGTCTTACGAACACTATAAAAATGATGATAATGAAATAAACTTACTTAATCTACCTTTTTTGTTATGTATTATATTATTATCTTAATAAACTTTCTTGAACTACTACTACTGCTATTATTAATACTATTAATACATATTAATACTGTGTATTAATAATATTATTAATACACAGAGAGTAATCACAGTAACGTGACTGCATCATTGAGAAAATCTGTTGGAGCTGTGATGTGGGTTCGAACCTATGTAGTGGGTGTTCCCAGGCACACGCTCCTAGCGACTAAACCACGACATGGCCAAAAAAATTGCAACCTGAAGTTCTACTGAACACACACAAGTGTTTCCGGAGGCTTCTACAAAAGCCGGAAAAAGATTTTCACACAATCCCCTTCTTGCTCCACCCCCCTCTCTCCATGCTGTTGCCTCCTCCCCCCCCCCAATCCTCCAGGTTGCAATCCTTTTGACCATGTCGTAGTCTCGTCGCTAGAGCGTGTGCGTGGGAACACCCACCGCATAGGTTCGAACCTACATCACGGCCCCTACGGATTTGCTCAATGATGCATTATTATCATTATTATTACCATGATAATATCGACTGTAACTAACGCAGTAACCACCGTAGCATCAACCTCGAACCAGTGACCCTGTTACCTCACTCCCAGTACACAAACACAACCACCAGTGGTCCATCTTTTCTCCTATTCGGGTCAGTAATTCGGTTACGATCGGTAGATAAGTTACGGTTGAGGAGAGAGAAGATCCTGGGGAAAGGGGGGGGGGGCCGGATAGGGAAGACCAAGTCCGGTCCGTTAGCTCTGGGTAAGGGGAGGCCGGTCTTGAATACTAATTAACGCTATACGGTTACGCGAGAGGGGGGGGGGGGAGAGGTTTCGAAGGAAATATTTGTTTTGTTTTTCAGTGTATTGGTTTGTTTCTGCCGCGTTTGTTTGTTGGCCGGGCGAGACACAAACAGACATACACACACATATACCACATATACATGTGTGTATATCACGAAAATAAACACGTGATTAAAAATGTGAGTGTCAGACCACGGAAGAAAATTGAAACAGGAATTTCCTTAAGTACTTTCGCATATTAATACATCTTCAGAAGAAGTGCATACACACATGCCTGCACATTTAAGAAGGAATCTGTACACCAGTTGACTGACAGTTGAGAGGCGGTACCAAAGAGCCGAAGCACAACCTCCCCACAAGGCAGGCGATGAGTCACAATAACGTGGCTGAAGAATGTTGACCAGACCACACACTAGAAGATGAAGGGACGACGACGTTTCGGTCCGTCCTGGACCATTCTCAAGTCGATTCCCGCAAGCACAACTAGATGACCACGCACACGAGGATGAAGCAGACTCTTACAGTCAGTGCTTGACAGCTGTGTCAAGCTGGCGAGAGAGACACTAACAGCACGACTATACGCTTACTGAAAGCTTAAGAGAATTACAGGCAGCTAAAAGTTTCAGAGGACGATATGGATCTACAGGTTTTAAAAAAAAGAGGCAGCTACCAGCTTCAGAAAATGAGAGGCAGCTACCACCTTCAGTGAATGAGAGGCAGCTACCAGCTTCAGAGAATGAGAGACAGCTACCAGCTTCAGTGAATGAGAGGCAGCTACCAGCTTCAGTGAATGAGAGGCAGCTACCAGCTCCAGAGAATGAGAGGCAGCTACCAGCTTCAGAGAATGAGAGGCAGCTACCAGCTTCAGTGAATGAGAGGCAGCTACCAGCTTCAGTGAATGAGAGGCAGCTACCAGCTTCAGAGAATGAGAGGCAGCTACCAGCTTCAGAGAATGAGAGGCAGCTACCAGCTTCAGAGAATGAGAGGCAGCTACCAGCTTCAGAGAATGAGAGGCAGCTACCAGCTTCAGAGAATGAGAGGCAGCTACCAGCTTCAGAGAATGAGAGGCAGCTACCAGCTTCAGAGAATGAGAGGCAGCTACCAGCTTCAGAGAATGAGAGGCAGCTACCAGCTTCAGAGAATGAGAGGCAGCTACCAGCTTCAGAGAATGAGAGGCAGCTACCAGCTTCAGAGAATGAGAGGCAGCTACCAGCTTCAGAGAATGAGAGGCAGCTACCAGCTTCAGAGAATGAGAGGCAGCTACCAGCTTCAGAGAATGAGAGGCAGCTACCAGCTTCAGAGAATGAGAGGCAGCTACCAGCTTCAGAGAATGAGAGGCAGCTACCAGCTTCAGAGAATGAGAGGCAGCTACCAGCTTCAGAGAATGAGAGGCAGCTACCAGCTTCAGAGAATGAGAGGCAGCTACAAGCTTCAGAGAATGAGAGGCAGCTACCAGCTTCAGAGAATGAGAGGCAGCTACCAGCTTCAGAGAATGAGAGACAGCTACCAGCTTCAGAGAATGAGAGGCAGCTACCAGCTTGTTCTCACACTTCTGGCAATCCTCGTGACTGTATTTGGAGAAGCTAAAGTCAGGTGGCTCTTTCTCCAACCACTTTTGGAAAGTATTGAGAGATCTTCTGTTCCGATTTTCCCATTAAGTCTGCATCTCCTGCAATCACTGATGTGAAGGAGACAATTTTCTCCGTCAGGTCGTTGACATGTACAAGGAATAGTATGGGGTCCCAAGTACCAAACCTCATAATCTAGTTTATTACATTTTCCTAGAACTAAATTATTATTTTCTCGCATTTATATGATCAAGTTATATTAGTATTCCTTATGAGCGTTTGCTCTTTATTTCTAAGCTGTGATTTTCACTATTTTACAAGTGTTTGTTATGTTACCTTTTTCTATGTTCTTTGTAGCGTCGTTAGTCGACTTGTTTCAGTATTTCCGAGTTCCCTATTTTAAGTCATTTTGTGACGAACCGCCTTGCAAACCTTTTCAAGTTTCCTCGTGTGTTCATGCGGTAAAGAATCCAGGATGGGACTGCATACTATAGGTCTTGTCTCACATAGGTGGTGTACAGTGTTCTGAGGTTACTGAATGTTATTTTGGAGTTCAGCAGGATAGTGAATACCGCTGATGTTTTCCATCTCTTTCTGTCTCAAGGGGAAAATCCCTGGTTTTTATCAACTTATAAACATCATCTCTGGTTGTTATAAGTTTATAAACAACATCTCTGGTTGTTTATTAGAAGTATATCTCTTGTGTACAGCCCTGCTGGGTTCCTGTCCCCTGTTCCAATCTTCATCACCTAACATTCACTGGTATTGAATTTAAGAGGTCTCTTAAAGTGTTCTACCCTCTTCGTCTGTGTGTATCCACCTAGTTGTACTTACCTCCACGCTTGCGGGGGTTGAGCTTTGGTTCTTTGGTCCCGCCTCTCAACCATCAATCAACTGGTGTACAGATTCCTGAGCCTTATGGGCTCTATTATATCTACATTTGAAACTGTGTATGGAGTCAGCCTCCACCACATCACTGCCTAGTGCATTCCATTTGTTAACTACTGTGCGCGTGTGTGTATTTGTGTCTGCAGAATCAAGCTCTTGGATCCCGCTTTTTAACCAAACTATTTTTCCTCCAGTATATCTGCTACATATATTTCTCTATAACACTCAGACACATTCCCAAGAAGCAGCCCTTAGCAGGTGTCTAACTCTCAGGTACCTATTTACTGCTAGGTGAACACAGGCATCAGGGGTGAAAAATACGCTGCCCATTTGTGTCCGCCTCCGTCGGGAATCGAACCTGGATCATTAGGACTACGACCCCCCCCCCCACAAGCGTTGTCCACTCAGCCGTGAGGCCCCCTCGCGTGCATGGATGCGTGCGTGCGTGTGTGATTACCTAAGTGTAGTTACAGGATGAGAGCTACGCTCACGGTGTCCCGTCTTCCCAGTAACAAGTCTAATTATACTACTGTATCACCCTTTGCAGATGGCATTAGAATTTCCATGAGAATAAACAATATTGACACATCAAACTTCCCATCTGGTGTAAATCAGGTCTTTCAATGGGCCACAAATAATATTTTTTATTACGTTAATTTTATTATTTATATATACAACAATTCTTACATTCATGTACAGCCACTAAGCAAGCATAGCGTTTCGGGCAGGTCCTTAATCCTAATTGTTCCCTGGGTTACGACCTGCCAAATCGTTTAACAACCAGATACCCAATTCACTGCTGGGTGAACAGAGGCTACAGTTAAAGATTGGCGCCTAGTCAATCCTGCCCGGCCAGGATACGAACCCAGGCCAAAGCGCTCGCGAAGCGCCCGGCGAATGTTTTACCTCTGCGCCACGAGGACCACTAAAAACAATATTTTAAGAAGTTCAGTAGGAACCATGACGTGGATGGTGTGTGTGTGTGTGTGTGTGTGTGTGTGTGTGTGTGTGTGTGTGTGTGTGTGTGTGTGTGTGTGTGTGTGTGTATGGAGGGGGGGTTTTGAGTGCTCGCCTCTCTCTTTCTCTTTCTTTTTGTCTTGAACATAAAAGGAATAATCAATTCAAATTTAGAAAGTAGCGATGGAGAAGAGCCGAGGTGTGCATGTTGCCTCGTGCGATCTGTTAGCATGTTTGCTTGTTCTGCTTCCTCGCTCTGATTACCGGCCTGGCGACCTTGATCTCCCTGGTGCAGGAGCGAAAGAGAAGAAAGCGGGTAGAGGCTATAGTGAAGACGTAAATATATGGGGTGAGACACATAGACCCTCTCCAATGAGAGAGAGAGAGAGAGAGAGAGAGAGAGAGAGAGAGAGAGAGAGAGAGAGAGAGAGAGAGAGAGAGAGAGAGAGAGAGAGAGAGAGAGAGAGAGAGAGAGAGAGAGAGAGAGAGAGAGAGAGAGACAGACAGACAGACAGAGACAGAGAGAGAAAGAGAGAGAGAACAAAAATGGTGCCCAGTACCAACAACAGCTGTATTAAATCATAGATGCCTTTTTAATTTTAGGGGAACAGTCTGTCTCCCTGTTTTTCTATCTCTGTCCGTCTCCGTCTCTCACTCTCATGACGGGGCATGGGGTGGACCCAGCAAATGACGGGAGAATCCTAGCAGACGGGCCTAGGGGAAAGAGGAACCCGGAGGAGGACAATGGCTCAGTATGAGCCAATTCCAATATATTAGTACGCTCTCCTGTTTAGATAACCTCAATATCTACTGCAGTGTTGCATGACAGTGTTGCCATTTCCATTTCCATACGATATGCGTATGGAAATGTCAAGACACACAAGCCTGGAAACCCACTTCGGCCAATCATTAGCCAGATACCCACACCCACGTAAAGACTAGTGAAGCGACTCAACGGCCTGCTGACTCCTTATGTCCCTTGCGCCTTCAGCCTGAAGTCACCAAAGGAATTTGTTGACTTACTGCGGGGCACACGGGCCACAGGAATAAGAGCCTCGTTGGACGTAGAATCGCTGTTCGCTAACGTACCAGTGGACGAGACAATCGGGATGATAGCCGACAGAGTGTATCGTGATCCAGCCTGTACTCCTCTTGACATACCAGAAAATATCCTAAGGAAACTATTCCAAGCTTGTACTAAAGAGGCACCCTTCTTGAGCCCGGATGGGCACATGTATAAGCAAGTAGATGGGGTCGCCATGGGTTCTCCCCTAGGTGTCCTGTTTGCAAACTTCTACATGGGTACCATTGAGCAAAAAGTCTTAATTGACATGAACATGAAACCGGCCATATACTGCAGGTATGTTGACGACATTTTTACACAGGTACCTGATGTCAGACATCTGCAGGAGTTGAAGGAGGCATTTGAGCGGAGTTCCGTGCTGCGTTTCACTTACGAGATGGAAAAGGATGGGAAGCTGCCCTTTCTAGATGTAACAGTCATGGAAAAGAGCGGAGGTTTCCACACTGCAGTCTACACTAAGGAAACGAACATAGGAATGTGCCTAAATGCCAAAAGCGACTGCCCAGATAGGTACAAGAGGAGTGTTGTTAGCGCATATGTCGACCGTGCTCTCAGCCACAGCTCAGAATGGAAGCAAGTCGACGAAGAACTCTGTAGGGTAAGGCAGGTCCTAGTCAACAACGGCTTCTCCAATGGTTTCGTCGAAGACATCATAAGAAGGAAAGTGAAACGCCATGCAACCTCTGAAGAGACAACCAACACAACACCTATACCCCCTATTAGACTCTTTTACAGGAACTTCTTTTCCACAGCTCATAAAACGGAGGAAAGGGTCCTGAAAGATATTGTTAATAGAAACGTTATCCCTACAGACAAAAATCAGAGGATACAACTGACGATTTACTATAAAACCAGAAAAACGGCCAGCCTACTCATGAGAAACTCTCCAGACACAAAACAGAACGCTTTAAAAGAGACTAACGTCGTCTATGCCTTCAAATGCCCTCTTGGGGACTGTAAGCTCCAAAAAACCCAGTATATAGGCAAGACAACAACATCTCTTTCTAGGCGTTTAACGATGCATAAGCAACAGGGCTCCATTAAGGAACATATAATCTCTTCCCACAACCAAACCATCGCCAGAGAAATCCTAGTAAACAACACAGAAATCATCGATAGATACAGCGATAGCAGGCGGCTTGACGTTTACGAGGCATTACACATCAAGAAGTCAACACCAGCAATCAACAGCCAATTAATGCACAACTATATTCTACCCACCTCAAGACTCCGCTCCAATATGGAAGCATCAAGAAATATGGACCAATAGGCTTTCTACAATCACTTCTATTCAATACCCATTGTTTCATGTTCTGGCTTGTGTTGATGAAATTAATACCTTATTAAATACCACCTCACCCCATCCACCTCACTCAAATGTAGATATAAACAAAATCGGAGATGTGTAAGTTCTATTCAGTTGTGTATGTGTTAACTAAAGTCTTTGAAAATGTAATAAGTTTTTACGAAACGCGCTCAAGTGTCGCGTCAGACTAGAAATAAAAATGAATTTTGGAGAATTGATTTTTCAATTACCATCAACAGTGAAAAGAAATATAAGAAAGATCGAGAAAATTAGTGTTAGAATTATTAATCTTACTTTTTCGGTCATATTTAATAATATATGTCTACAGGAAAGACTGCTACCAAATTATACTAATATATATATATATATATATATATATATATATATTATATATATATTGTGTGTGTGTGTGTGTGTGTGTGTGTGTGTGTGTGTAAACTAAATTCATGTCGAACAACTGTATCAGTGATGAATATCTACTTAAGTGAAGTACGACTGGTAATTAAGACCACTGTGACCTCGCGGCGCTGCCAGCGTACGATGATCAGCGTAGCGTGACCCCTGACCTGATTGGCCGCTCAAAAACTCAAATATGATTAAATAAAATATAAATTCATTTGACCATTAATTCGATACGCTTGACCTGGAATTACCTGTCTCTCTTAACCTATCACGGTTTTTTTGCTACAAGTTTTCGCTTGAGGTAAGATATACTGACAGGACAAATATACTGTAAGGGGCTTGACGGCTGAGTGAACAGCGCTCGGGATTCGTAGTCATAAGG